CTGAAAAGCTGTCTGTGACAGGGGAGCGCTTTGCACCTGCTCCAGAGGCTGCCCCAGCCAGGTCTACTCCTGCTTTGCATCCAAGACTCACTCACCTGTTTTCTTTGCAGGAGGGGGCAGAGACCTGAATGTTTGCTTCCTTTCCTCTTGCCTGGAGAAGATTGGCTCTCTGGGGGATCTGGTTGGGAAATGTATCTGACTTACTGTGGGACCTTCCAGACAAACTTTATTTTCCCATCTGTTTCTCACTCTTTGAAAGGGCAAGAACAAGAGGAATAAATGGTTTTTGAGGGACTTTGGTTTTCCAATAAAAGCTTTCACTTAATCACAAGTGTGTTGGATTTTTCTTTTGCAGGGGAGGGGGGTGGGAGAGAAGCTTGTAGCAAAACTTCCAACCTGGGATAATGTGGTGATTCTCCCATTGCTTATGAAGGTCTGAGTTGGAGCTTGATTTTAAATCCCTCCCAGCTGCTTGGCCAACCTCCCTGAGAACACTGTCCCCCTGGATCTCTAGCATGGGTCAGGGAAGCAATGTTCTGAGACATCAAACTCTAGAGCAGATATCCTCAGACTGCAAGCAGCTCTTTGCAGCACCTATTACAACACGGATTTAATTAATCACTCAGGATGCTTTTCCTATATTGATTTGTACAGAGCCATTGATGTTGCTGTGAACATAGAAAAACTAAAGTTTTCCCATGTCATAATGTTTAAATATGAATTTTCAGTAAATGAAACAATGAATTCACACCACTGGGGCTTTTTATAGTAATGATTGCTAATTTGGCTTCCGAACCACTGAGTTCTGAGTATTGCTGCTCTAGAGCTAAACTTTTGAGGCTATGGTATACCCTGCAAGTGAAGGATGCAGGATTCTCTATAGGTAACCTTTACATGCTGGTTGACCTTTGCCTCTCACAGGGAGAGCAGAGAACTGGGCTATGGGCTGATGGGGCCCCAGAGAAGGGGTGGGGGAGACTTGACAAGTAGTAGTAGATTGCTGAGCAAAGAGCATGGGCTTGCTACCCTGCAAGGCCATCAGGAAGATAGGGGGCTCCAGTAAATGGACCTTCCCAAAGTCACTGGACTACACCTCATTAAGCATGAGGCTGCAGGAGTTGGAAGCCTTAGGGTTGAACTACCTGTTTGATAGTAGAAATCAGTTCTACTGCCCTCTACCAAAGTGATCTCCTAGGATAACCACTAGCTGTTCTCCCTCTCCCACCAGGTCTGGTGTTCCTGACATATCTAAAATTATCTGCACTTCAGAGCAGAAACATTGTGTGGGTTTGTCCCCCACCATTGCCACAACACAAATACCCTAAGGTAGGTGTTTGGGTGCTATATAAATGAATGTGTACCCTCCTTTTGCACTTCTGGAGGAAACCTGAGTACTTTCCTTGTAAATAGCTAAGCCTGTATTATATCATTTCTTTTCTGCTTGCACAAAGCCACCACCATCTAAGGAAATTACACTGCTAGCCTCTAAACTCAAATGGCTGCTGCTCTATGCTTATTAACACAGCTGCAGAGAAAGATGGATTCAGGATGGCAAGCTGCAAGAGGCCTGTACCTCAGTAATCCAAAACTATGACTGCTTGGAACTAAGGCCCATGTGAACTGCCAGCACTGGCCTGGTCCTCTCTGCAGAACATCCTGAAAGGGAGAATAGGCCCTGCACCCTTATGGTAAAGGTAGAAATATAGTTAACATTCACCCTTCTTCAGACCTCTCTCTGAGAGGTGAAGCAACATAGCATGTCTGCTGAAGAAAAGCTTGCATTAGAACCTGCTGCTGTCTTCATCTGCTCACACACAAAACAGGAGCTAATCCATCAACCAGTGTGAAATAATGTGGTGACCATTCCCAGTTAGTTTGTTCCTTTTGTCTTCTCCTTCCATAACTACACTGGAGGTGTGTGTAGTAATTTAGCCCTTGTAAGCCTGTGATTCTATGCCTGGATGCAGAAAAGAGCTGCTAAACTGCCTTTCAAAAGTAGTGAGATCTAGCAAGTCTTTAACCTGCATTTTATCTGCTCCCCCACATGTCTATCAGTAAAGCAATAATACACAGCTGGTGGGAGTATATTATTCAGGTGGAGTGGGAGCTGAATGGGGGGATTAGGTAAGAGAGCCAGCTGACCACTGGCTAGACTCTGCACCGATTGTAGCTGTATCACAGACTGGCAATTCTTTTCCTGCAGACTTCACTACAATTAAATACTAAAAACAGCTCAAAATAAACCTGGGATCAGTGAGTGGTAAATGGGGTTCTTTTTGGCTGATTGAATAGTATTTGAGCTAATCACAACAAGGAACATATGATTGAGATAATACCCTTCGCAATCTCTCATTTTATGAAATAGCAGGAAAGGAAACAGATTAACCCACTTTCCATGCTCTGTTATGCAACTGCAGGGAACTCTCCCGAGAACAGCTGGCAGTTTCCCTCCCCTGCATTTCTGCTTTGCAATGGATGCAGGAGAGGCAGAGAGTTAATCTGGACAGCTGCCCGTGACCCTGCTGCATTTACCAGACTGAGTGTGCAGAGAGGCCAAGTATCTCAGCCCAGACAAGCAGTAGCAGGCAAGCCCAGCTGCTTTGCCTTCCCACACTGCTTGGAGGGGGAAGTCACCAGTCTTAATACTGCTGTCAGCCGTCTTTCTCACGTGCTTTGGGCATGTAAGATTTTATCAGCAGGTATCTTTGTCTCCCTTGAACTTTCATTAAATAACTGGTAGGAGCTAATCTCCCAACCCTGTATTCTAGCAGCAGGATCACCCCCAGCTGAAAAACAGTCTACAGCCCTAGCTGCCAAGCAATAGACAAAGTTGGGCAGCTGATGGCTTTCCCTGTTGGCTTTATACATTTGGCCTGAACAGCCAGATTGTTATTAAACAAGATGAAAAATGTAACCTCATTCCCACTGGTAATATAAGATCAAGGACCTGGAGAGGCTGGTGGCAGATGGAAGGGGCAATACAGATTAACTTGCTCCTTTTTAATTCACTGGAGGGGGGGGGGGCAATCCTGTTGCTATTAATAGATGGAGAGAGAGGCTAGAAAATGCTTCCCATAGATCTTTGAGTTGGGGTTGTGCACAGAGTTGATCACAAGCAAATTCACAATGCTGGTGAAAGGTGTCAGATTGTAGTGCTGGAGCCTAACAGATTCTGGTATTCCTAGAATGGTGCACCATGCACAGCAGCTACAGAAGTGCTTCTCTTCCCCCCCCCACAAAGCCCTGCAGGTATGCCCCGTCCATGCTCCAGCCTGTTCACCCCTAAGAATGGGAGTGAGGGACTAAGGGCCAGATCCTCCAAGGCAGGGGTTCTCAAACTGGGGCTTGGGACCCCTCAAGGGGCCATGAGGTTATTACATGGGGGGGTTGTGAGCTGTCAGCCTCCTCCCCAAACCTCACTTTGCCTCCAGCATTTATAATAGTGTTAAATATATGAAAAAGTGGTTTTAGTTTATAAGGGGGGGTCGCACTCAGCAGCTTGCTGTGTGAAAGGGGTCACCAGTACAGAAGTCTGAGAACCCCTGCTTCAGGCTCTTTACACACCTAACTTCTGTTAATTTCAGTGGGAGTTAGGTGCCTAATATTTTCGAGCACTTGGGCTCAGATCTGAAACAATATCCAACTGGTAAAAGGCTCCCGTTCCCATTCTCAGCCCCCTGCACAGGCAGTGGCCCTGTAGACTGGGCAGGAACCTGCCCGCATATGCAAACACATACATGCCCAGTGCCTATACTCACCCACAAAATACCGCTCTCTATGGGTTTCTGAGATTTTAATCACCTGCTGAATTTTGTTTTTCCATGACCTTATTACAAAAGACTTTGCAAAAGTAATTCCACTTAGCTGCAGCTTGACCTGGAGACGCGGGATGTGTTGAGAGGTTAGGGACAGCGGTCAGAGGATGCAGAGAAGGAGGGGGGAGGGATACGCCGTACAGAGAGAGAGTTCCATATGGCACTGTCAGTAGGAGACACTTCCACGTGAGTGCCCGAGCTGCGTCTGGGGGAAGCACCAGCTCCGGGTACCTACAGTCCATGAAGGACATGGCATGGTGGCAGGAGAATGTATGAAACCAAAAGGGCTGCACAAACCCTAAAGTGCCTGATGTGGACATAATGGGAACCAGAGACTGTGGAGAGGGGTTCCCTGTCCCCCTTGGAGCGGCACTCCCTGGGGTGTCTGAAGGTGGGATTGTTAATTCTTGTGTCATGTGACCCACACCCACCCAGGGGGGCTCTCAGTCACTCTCTGCTACAGCCCTTGAGCTAGCAGAGCTGGTCATTTAGCACAGGCCGTAAGATCTACAGGTCTCAAGTTGATCTCTGCTGCTTATGACCTACCCCGGGGCAGCACCTTATACGCACAGGGAAGGTGACATTTCCTCCACATAACAGTCAATGGCTGATGAGCCTCCTGGCTGTGTGGCCCAAGCCCTTGTTCCACATTTCCCTGGTCCCTTACCCCAACCTGGAGAAGGGAGCTACAGGGGTCTCTAACCCCACCGCCTCCTCCATAGGAAGGTAGCATCAACTGCCTGTATTGGAGAAAGAGAGAGCACAATGGCTCCACCACAGAGCTCACTGGTGAAGACATCAATGCACGCTCAGGTTGGCCGGAGAGCAGCAGTGCCCCTTTCCCCTTGCCTCTCCCCCCG